ACAGTACTTCGCTCCAGAGGTCCTCGGTGCTGCGCAGCCAGCTGCTCAAATCCCTACCACAGGCCGTGTTATAAGCAGATATGAGCAGTTTTGATTAGTGTCGCTTGTACTGTTGCATAGTGTGACTTCAGCTTACTATGAAGTTTGCTGCTCTAAGCTTGACATAAAACCTGAGTGTAAGCTTTTTGAAGCTCTCGCTGCGTTCAATTACCAGTTGTCGGCAGACCGTTTGCCGCCGATCTCCAAGGGACCCTACTAATGCCGGTTATGGGCGGCCGGTGGACATGTGTGCAGCCCAGAGGGCTGCATTCATTTTCAGCTCGCATCCAGCGTCGTTGACTACAAGCAGTCATGTAGAAGCATCACAGCAGCAGAGAACGCATTGCACTATTCCGTTTTCTTGGCGCTCAATGTTGCACAAATGGGTGTTACTGCTGTCTGGCATTCAGAACCAATTACTACTTTCTGCAGAGCGCTGCCTCGCTGAGGTGGAGTCTGGGCGTAAATCTTTACATCATGCTGTGTGGCGTGCCACCCTTCGAGGAATCCAATTAATGTTTGCCTGGTAGGAAAGCATGCTCCAAGAATTGTGGGCCATCTGCAGGACGAGCACCTCTATCAGCAGATCACATCCGGACAGTGGAAGTTCGATGTCTCTTGCCCACAATCAGCAAATCCTCTTGCGTGTAACATCCGTAGCATCCTTGCGGTTACTGCCATCAACGCTAAACCCCCTGTATCATCCTTAAGAATACCTATACAATTCTCATGTAATCTGTAATCCCTACGTATCCGTATGTAACCCCACATCCCTCCGTTGAAGCTGAGGTTCCTCAATTTGCTCAAGTTTCAGAGGAGGCCACCCACGACTCTTTCTCACCGCCAGAGCCGGACAACAGCTGGGGTTGAGGAAGAATTATGCGGGTTACATTGGGACATACAGGGAGTGTATAATTATTGTAAGGGCTATTTTGGGATGATATGGTGCTTATATAGGTGTCGATGAAATGCTATCGCTTTCTCTCTTGCTACGTAGAACCTAGTGTCTCCCCCGCGCCCACAAAGGCAGAAATCCCCACAGCCAGGGCCCGAAACCCTCAAATTTTAACCCCTGCAGACCTTGGCACGCTACTCGCAGGAAGCCGCTGAAACCTAAAGCCCTGCAACATCAAACCATGGACGCGAAATCATTAGTGACTCCTCAGGTCATGATCTCGAGTCTCATGTTCCCAACCCAGGTCGTCCAGCAGAAGCCAAGCTGAGCAACTCCAATCATTGATGCCATGCAAGGCTGTTCGATCCAAAGCATTGGCACACTACCTTCAACACCTAAGGCCAAACCATAGGACCCTTAAGACTTGATCGCCAGAAGGGCCCTAGCAAACCAAACCCCCAAACTCCCACAGCACAACCGGTGAAACATTCAAACATAAAAGCAACTGAGCCATAGTTTAAACTCCTTTAAGGCGGTTATATAAGGGAGAGTATTGGGGAGTATTACAGGTCTTATTAAGGGGAATGTTAGGAGCTTAGACTATACCTCATATAGTTCCTCATCCTTGAGACCTGACCTTAGCCCACTGCACGGCCTGCAGGCGGTAAACACAAAGCTGCCGAGTTTAGGGTTAGTTTAGGGTTAGTTTAGGGTTCCACTGCCTCTCAATCCCAAAGCCAGCACTTCAATCCAAGACCCCTGGTATGCTAGGACACAATGGTCCGAAAACAAATGAAGCCCCAAATTACACATCCTGCAGATACTCAAGTCCTGGATCCTGAAATGTTGGACCGTTAGTCCAAAGCAGTCACATCCCAAGTTCTCCACAAGCAAGGCCCCAAAAACACTAAGAGCCCAGCCCTCCGGTCCTCAAACCGCAAAACTAACAACCTTACACAACTGTTAAGCCCAAAACCCTCAAACCACTCAGTGGGGCTAAAGCCTGCAACCCTCAAATCCCAAACCCTTACACTATCAAACTTCACCGCTGAAATCCTGAGACCCTGAGGCCCTCACACGCTCACCGGACACTTGAATCCAAAAGATGGCATGAACAAACTAACAGCTGAACGGCAAACATGAAGCATCTTAGATCACGACTACAATGAGCAAGAAACTACAATTAAGCGTGCTTCCACCATTGGTCTTGTATTGAGCGAGGACAGGCATAGCAAACAAGAGACGGACACCCGACACAAGGGATGATTCTTGATTCAGGGAAGAAGACATCTAGACACACTGACTGCTGTTTTAGTGTGGCACATAGATATTCTACTACGATGCCGCTTAGTACTGCAAGATAGCATGTAAATCAAAAATTGAAAGTGTTCATTGTTGTTTCTTGCGCGGCAGGCCAAGGATCTCATCCGCAAGCTGATGACTGTGAATCCAAAGCAGCGCATCAGCATCGAAGAGGCTCCAGCGAGTAGCGCAGGTTTCCTCCTCTTCACGCTTCAATTCAGAAAAAAAGAGGTAAAGCGACGTAGACACGGCATCCTAAGGTTGAAATGCCTTGTGCGCACATGAACAGATTGTGTGTTATAAAGTGCTGTGGAAAGCCAGTGAGAGAATTTTTGTAGTTTGCTAATTGCAAGTAGGCATAGATTAACTTCCAATTCTTAGCCGTCCTGGCTTGAGGGAAGACGTCCCTACGCAATGCAGCGCAGAGTTTTCGTGAGCTTCATCTATCTGGGACAAGTGTCAACAAGTTCTAAGCCATTGACCTTTGATCCGATTACCCAAATCCCTTTAGAGCGCTCTTACAGGCTTGTTCCGTGCATCAAGTTGTTGCGACTCGTATCAAGTTGTGCTGCCTTGGTGTCCCTTTCGGATTTGTCAGATTATTTTGTGCTTGCGCATGCACCCTGTTGGGATTTGCCATGAAGTTTCCAATATCAAAGATGATTTCTGCTTCAGCCCATACACGCCAAATCCCCTATGTTTTTCTGCGACTTGCCGTACAATATTGGAGGTGCCAAGCGCTTCTGGAAGCATCCAAGACCTCTGTGTTGCTTTGGGATTTGTCAGTAAACCTGCAACTTTGAAGTTGTCTTGCGTTTTGGCTGGCACTCGCCTGCTAGTATTGCCGCTGCTCTAAAAATCTTAGGTACGAATATGGGCTGTCCTTGTCCAACCCTGACGAGTTGTGTAGGCTCTCCCTGTCATTCCCTGCCTTGCGTATGCCTGACCGCCGTATAGCCAAGCGTCCTCCCCCTGATAGTCTCATTGAGATTCGCTTTGGATTGGCAACGCCTGGGGTGACATCACGGTGCTTGGGGTAACTTACTCTTGGTGCTTTGTGGCAGAGGTTAAGGTGACTGAAACCTAACACTAATGGCATGGAGGCGTAAACCCTCTGACAATCTGGGCACCGATTGGAATAGAGATTGTTATGATTGATCAGGTATTTATTTGCTACCGTAGGTTACTTGCGATTTAGCGAACAACCAACCACACAGCCTAGAATGGGCTAGTACCTCAGACAGTGTAGTAGTTTAGTACATGCTTCCGGACAAGACGCAGATTCTTCTGACTGCTTCTGTAAAGCATAAGCACACTGAACCACGAGTTGACGTGACCAGCCTGCACACAGTCCTGGAAGGCTCTGAAAGAGCCATGGCTCCGCATGGCAGCGCCTGGACCCTGTAATCGTTAATCGAAGATCTTGATGATGTGAGCCAGAAGGTGGTGCTGTTCTGCAGAGATTGGTTGATTCCTGAAAAGAGGTGTTTGCATAATTGCTTGCAATGATTCTGGCTCTGCCCAGTTTCGCATCGCCGCAGCGCTCTGCAGCAAAGCTGCCAGGCTGGAAGGGATAGGAGTGTGGAGTTCATTCTGAGATTCCTCTCCTTTCCCAATCTTTGATACGAGCAAACGAGCTAATACAGCTCGCAAGGAATATAAGCAAAGCAACACTCCTCTCAAGTGACTCAGAGGCGTGCTTTCTGTTTTGCAGCACGGTCAAAGGCACGGTAGCTAGCTTCGCTGAGGATCCAACTCACTTTGAAGGCCAGGTTGAAGTAATAGCTACTCAACACACTGCTTGGCGGCATGAAGTGTATTGCAGGTGCAGATGCGGCGCAGGCCCACGTTCACATTTAGCTTGAACGTTTTTGGTTTGAGTGTCTTCACCCGCTACTTCAAAGACAGCGCAAGCTGCAAAGCCATGGGCACGGTGCAGCATTTGGTGAATCAAAGTGTGGGTGTCTTTCTGCACCACCTGCGCAGCTATACTCATTGGGCTAGCTCATTGCGTCTTCCAGTGCAGACTGGTTACCAGTTGCTTGGAAGAATCTCCAATTCAGTGCTCTCGTGCGTGGCTTGAACTGGAGAGGAGCCTGCAGCTAAACGGCGCAAGTCGGACGAGGGCGCCATGGTGTTCTAGAAGCTGCAGGGACCTATGTACAGGCTGGAGATGCCAGAGACCACGTCACTTCCATCTTATTCGTTTGGTGTCATTCTAGCCCACATGATGGGCTAGCCTTCGCCTGACTTCCCCAGCCATACCCTTATTGTGTGCGGTGAAGCTGTGATGTTAATGGTTGTTCATGGTTGCCATTTCCACTGGCTGAACAGCTTGGCTTGTGTTGTGTGACACAAAATCTCATGTTGATAGCTCAGGCAGAAGTCGCAGTGGTAGCTGGTATGCCCTCCAAGCAACATAAGAGGAGCCTGCATGCTACTGATGTGAGCAGGACTTGTCAAAGCAGTCATACATCCGCAGCATTGTGCGATCAGCCACAATGACCTCACAACATGGTGGCGCCAAGAAGACCGAAACGTGGCAGACAGAGACTTCCATGTAATGAAGGATGCAGTAGGAGGGCGGTAAACAGGCTACGTGGGCAGATAACTTTCTCCAGAGCGCATAAAGCCGCGTCGCATCCCTTCCAGCTTCTTTTACAATAGATAGTCTTAGATAGTGCATAAGGATCTGAAGATTATCGCTGACATTCTGGAAGATGCTGGCCTCGAAGAGCGTTTGCATTCGCTGAAAATCGATGCAATGAACGCAGCTTGTCTTGCTCATCTTCTGTTCAAGTTGTCTCTGACCTAAGCTCGAGATATGCAGGCTCAGGCGCTGGCGCAGCTTGCGATGCAGGCGGTTCGCATGGGAATCGACTACAAAACACTTGGAGTCGGCTCTCGGGCTTACTTTTGCTTGCCTCTGTTTTCTTGGTTCAACAGCTTGAAACACATCCCAGGCTGGCATCATCCCTCTTCACGGACAGCATACCGGAGCTGCAAGCACAGGTCCACGTCCTCACCAGCCTCACGCAAACGAGCTGCAGCATCACGGGCTCGGATCCTGGACGCGTCTTGTTTGCAATTATCGGCTAAGATTCGATTCAGGAGAAAACGGCTCTTTCTTCTCAGGTCATATCATCTCTGGAGGCTGGAGCGATGGAGATTCAGTCCGCGCTGATTGAGGTTTTCATCCAGGAGATCGGCCTTCAGAAGGGCTCAAGCATCAGCATCTTGGCAGGCATGAGCTTTGCAACATGTGTTCCTGTTCAGGAGGAAAGGCAAGCATGAGCTTCATACGATCAATCGAGAGCATGTGAGAAATTAGGGTCCAAACCTTCAGCTGGGCCCCATGCGAAGGTGTCCGATCGATCCTATAAGTGATGTTTTGTCATGTTCAGCTCGGAGCTGTTCAGTGGCCCTTGCAAGCCTGAAGGCGCCCGCATCGAAAGTGTTATCCTTCTGTTTAGTTATGGGGTTGTGAAATGGTGGTGTTTCAAGGGCGTAAAACCCCAAAACTCCCCAGTCCTCTGTGGTACCCTCCAAGGCTCTTTGAGGCTCCCTAGTACTTACCTCCCTTGGACCCACCCCCTTTAAGACCTGTAATGACAAGCATTTGGAGTCAGCGACAGAGGGCACTTGTAAGTTGGCCCGCAACAGCAATTCCCAAGAGTAGATATCATACCCCGCATCCAGGTAAAACGGCGACCTGGTCCGGAGTTCTTGCAGCGCTAGACGCAGAGCTGCTGCTACCTCTCCGCGCCCTGAACGACTCTCAGGCTGCCTCAGGCTTGGTTTTGTTTTGAGTTTGTGCGAGGCGTGCTTAATTTCAGGACCAAAGGACCAGCATGAAATAGCTCCTGGTTAGCACGCCATTTGAACATGTTTGTTCCGGGGTCGGCACAGGTTGCATGTAGTGTTGCAGTGCCAAGGAATGTCGAATGACTCAGACTATGTGTGGTGCTCCACTGCCTGAAGACGATCTAAATGGCGTTGTCCTGTCTCTCACGGAATCTGTGCTTAAGAGCAGTTCTGGCTTTAGCGAGTGGCGATATAGCACACCGAAGGGAAAGGAACAATTGCGTGGGCTGTCTGATCATCAGCTGAATCTCTGGCAAGAAGCCACACAACAAGAACATCCGAACAAGTTGAGGACGCACGAGGATGCCCATGGCGAATTGGGATTTTTCTGGGCCACAAAGATCGGCGGTCCATCGCACGGCTTCGATTATGAGAGTCAATGCATTTTACCACTGCTGGCAAACGCACGGCACAAAGTGATATTGGTCAGCGATGCTGCCTGGACGCAACACCCTGTTGGCAGAGCTCATTGGCGCTTGCTTTGGTCTGTTGGATCTTGTGGGAAAAAGGCGCCAGAACCACGATTGTGGCTGGAGACGGTTAATGCCGATTTCGAGGCCCCAGTGTCATGCGAGGGCTGGGAGACAGCAGTGCTGACGCATGCAGTTTCCAAAGCAGACGCAATGGGAGTGCCACTTTCTGTCCCCAGCCAGATCTCAGACATGCATGCCCCATGTCATCCCATGTCCCATAGTCCAACATCCTGCTATTAAGTGGACGTTTGATCGCTGTAGCCAACTTGCAGCAAAGGTAGAATTATTGCTGGCTGATGCTCTGCAATCTGTGCTTGGGGCCTTGAGAGACGTGGAAGAGGTCTCCGAGAGGATGCTGCTTCGTCCCAGCAATGTGCCTCGAAGTGCAGAACAAGAGAGGACAAAAGACCCACAACGGCTCGTGCCAACGAGCATCTGAAACAGAAACAGTGCTTTACACGCACGAGCACAGCAATGCATAGATACATCCTCCGCCATGTTGAGCACATATTGACCCAAGTGTTGATGTTGCTTAGCCTTTCTCGTGCAAACACGAGCAAACCAATCTCCCCAGTGCCATTCTTAAGCCAGAAAACCTCCAACCCAGTACTGAGGCAATTGTTGAGGCATCAGATTACCTCAGCTCAGCTCACGATTGGGTGCCTAGAAGTCGCAATAGTCTGTTTTGCATCTGTTTCGACACATGTTCTCAGTAAACAGTCATTGAAATCCCAGCCAAACCCAAGAGTACGGGCTCATACTTGGGGCCCACAGTTTAGACCTTAGGCTAAAGGCTCCAGCATTTCTGGCAGACGACCATATGAGATTCCAAAGGTGCAAGACGAGGACGAAATCACTTTGCCCATAGTTCGAGCGCTGTACACGCCGAGGCACTGGGTGGCAGTGCAGCTAACGAATGAAGATCAGGGTTGAGTGGACTTGGCACTCATTACGACGGTACCTATGGTCCATTTTCATCCTGCTCCAGGCCCAGGAGGCCTCCCGAGTAGCCCCAACAAAATCTGAAAGCACCAGCGCGGGATTGGGCCTGCTCTTAAATCGCACGAGGTGGTGAATTTCCGGTCGACCCCCTGATAGGTGATACGTGCTGGTAAAGTCTTGAGGCCTATCGTGCACAAGACAATGCCACGTTTGCAAACACCATCCCTCCCGAGTTGCGTATCGCCAATTGCCAGGCAAGCGGAGTTGCTGGCAAGAGCATCAACTAAGAGCCGAAAGGACAACATGGAGTGAAATTGCTGCGCGAGCGAGCCAGGGCCACCAAAAGTCTGCGCCTGTGTAGACGCAGTAGAAAGCTCACCCGTACCAGCTTGATCAACCACGCTGCCGCGCAGCAAATTGAAAGCACAAAGATGCGTAGCAAATTCTGGAGCTGAAGAAGGGCGCCAACAACGCGCAAAACACGAGGTTGAGTGGTAATCATCATGTAAGGGGCGAACTATGTTCGCGTGTAAGGCTCTACGATCTCTGCGTTGCTTCTCCATAACGATTTGTAAGCACAACCACGCACAACAGCCATGGGCCGGACATCATGAGGCACTGCTGCCGCAAATGCCAGCAATCTTCATAGTTGTCTACCAACATAGTCCCCACTGACATGCGCATCACCAAAGCTTCCAAACTGCCATGGTTGACATCTGGCAGCGCCATCTCCAGGAATAGAGTCTGAATAGAGTGGAGAGCGAACAAAACCACTGCGCAGCCAACACCTGCACCAGAAAGGACTCCTTGAAGCCGCACTTGCGCCTCAGCTTTTGCTCTGCTTGCTGGCGAACCCGGCCTTGGAAAAACCGTCATGTAAATTCCGTGCACGCCACATGTCGCCCCGCCCCTACGCTGCCAGCTGGGTCACAACGGAAATGAGAGCACCATACCACAGCAAGCAACAGCCCACGCATGCCTTTGCGCACGAAGACAGAAGACAACAGTTCATGCATCCGCACAGGTGCCCCGCAGCGGCCTTTGAACCCTAATGCCCCGGCATGTGTTAATATTCCATTTCGCTCCAGTAATCTCCCACGCACCAGTGTGAGTTGAGTACTTGGTGGTCTTTATGTGGCTCAGCCATGTGCGTGGCTGCTCCGGCAAGGCCGTACTAGGATCCCATTAGCCAGGTAAATACTTTCGACTTTTGCTCTGACAGGAGAAAAAGGACGCTCGAGGAGACCAGGCATGGTTGATCAGAGGAGCAAAAAGACTCGTCATGCACCATGCCAGGGGCCGTTGAATCCTTTCCTAGTCTTCATTGGTCTTCCTACAGGAGCACAGCAGTGACAGGGCAAGTGCTGCGCAGTCGTTAGGAAGGATTCTCGTCAGGGTTTCTTCTCACATCAGCTTATGGCTAGTAGGGTGCTTCCTCGTCCAGCACTTCTAAATGTGCAAAACAACATGTTCTGCTCGTGTATGCTCGTGTCCTCAACACAGCGTACGTACCAGGCTGGTCCGGAGAACGTTGACGGCTCAATGAGCCAGCAGCCCTTGCCCCCGTCAGTGCTACAAAGGCTTACGCAGCAGGCCAGAGAGCCCAGCCACCGCGGCGTATTTTTCACAGATGGTCAGCACTGACGGGTGACAAACCCACGACTGATGTGCAGCTGTACATCTTGGTTTGTACAGTAGTGGTATTTTGAGTGCGGATGTTCAGCAGAATAAAGTCTTGCCCACTCAAGCTGCAACGAAGTAGAGCTCAAAGCCTTTTGCGACGCTTCAGGATGCGCTGCTTGCCTGCTGAAAATCCCTGCTCAGGGCGCGGCTGATCCTTTCCGAGTTGCATGGAATGACACTTGAAGGAAGGGATGGCGATGCAGAGAAGTGCTCCTGTCCTGGAGGGGCGGGCAAAGAGCATCCGAGGAGAAAAAATGAATGATTCCTCATAGAATTTCGATCAACATGATATTGAGCAGATGATATTTTCTATGACGGATTATATTTAGAAGAATCTTAGAAATTTTGATAAATTAAAATCTGCGGATAATATGAAATAATTATTTTCAAGATTTTTGGACAATAATTATAATAATGGAATCTACCTCAATGATACGGCGCGGCTACTTGCGGCCATTTCGATATCGCGAGGCCTAGTCTTTCGGGCTCCCCTCTAAAATATTTCTTGCGAAATCCCTAGGGGCTCTCAAAGTTCGGAGCTTTGAGAGCGCTTCAGAAAAGTTAGAGGTTCTAAAATTTCTACTATTTTTGGCGTAGGCGATACGATTAAAAATCTCGGAGATCTTTAATAGCGCGATTTTCTCCTCAGAATAGATTTCTGCGTGATTTATTTCTTTTTTTGAAATTTGGGAGAATATATAGACGGAAGGTATTCGTATTTGTTATAGATGCTGCCAATTTATCGCGTAATATTTATTGCGATTAATTGAAGAGAGAAAATGATTCGGAATTTGCGAGCCGGAGAATTTGGGTCGGAGGAATAAATTTCTCTTCGAGATTTCGTTTTTGTTTTTCTAATTAATTGGGAACTTTTGCCTCTCGGAATGATTTTCTGAATTTCTTTTTAGCTGCATGTGAGATTGGTCGGCGGGACGTCAAAATTTAAGATAGAAAATTCAAATCTTTCTAGAATTTATAGATTGGCTATATTTCTCTACGAATAATTCTATAAGCAGCCGAGAAGAAATAAATGAAATAGAAAAATTGGGTCGGAAATTTTGGATCGCGCAATTAAAAATCTCTCGAGATTTCGAATCATTTCTTTTTCTTTGATTATTTGCGCCACGCCTCGTCGAAATATATAGATCCGAGATAGAGAATTAAAATTTTATAGATTAATTATTTTCCTAATCTAAATCTCAGACTTTCAATCTTCCCGATAAATTTGAAAAGATGTGGCAGGTTGAAAGATTTTGACGAGCTACATGCCGCAGAAAGCATCGAACTACAATTTGCGCAAATTATAATAATGAACCCTCTGATGGACACTTGCCAAGAGGGTCTTGAGGCAAAAGCAATACGCAAATATATTATGGGGAAATGGGAGAAATCGGCTTTGATCAGAGGAATTTGACTAAATCATTGGGATTATTGACAACTTGATATCTCCTGGGCAAGTCCCCTCAGGATTACGAGAATCTGATTACGTTCAGAAGCTTGATCAGTAATAAAATCGTCGGCGGCTAGCAAGAATAATATCTGCCATAGTAGGGGGATCTGATGATACTCTCCCGCAAGAAAATCAATTATTACGCGGTATGTCATGAAATATCAAGGGATTAGAATCCCCCCCCCAACTTGTCAAATCAGGGAAACAGAATTATATCACGATTCGTGATTAGAATTTCATATATCTATAGAAGATTAAATACATAGATAGATATAGAATGGGAGATATAAATAGACCGCGTCGGATTGCCTGGGAAATAATCGTCAGATTCTGAGATCTCTTTCTAAATCCTTGGGTTCCAATCTATAAATCCGTCTCAATAGAAATGCCTCAAGCCTGTTCCTTGGAGGAGCAATTTGATAGTTGCTAGGCTGGTAGCCCTCAACTTCAAAATATCAATATATATTCAGGGTCTGGGATATCAAATTATGAGGAAGTAGGATTTGAAATTCGTCATATTATTTTCTTCTATATCAGCTCCCTTGCCATTATAAATCCATTCCAACGACGATATTCCGTTGTGCTAAGCAGCGGGAGCAGTCTACGGTGCGACCAGTTGCAGTCATTTCGATCCTACGCGGCCTAGCCTTTCTAATTCGTCTCTAAGATATCTATTGTGGGATGCCTAGGAGATCTAAAATCTCAGAAATATTAGAGCCCTTCAGGGAAGGTAGACGCTTTAAATTTTCTAAGATTTTCGGTACGAGGGGCGCGAGCCGGAGTGGCTTACCACGTGATTTATTTATTTCTTTGGATGCTCGCATAGATATGCGGCGGAATATATAGACTAAGGATAATTGGGGTTATTTAATATTCCGGATCCGCCGCCCCTGAGGAATTAATTCAATAGAGATAAAAGAAATAGAAATTCTGGTCATAGGAATGAATATCTCTCGAGATTTCGAATTATTTCTTTTTCTTTAATTTTCTCGGACCTGCCCCCCTCTCCCCCTCCCAACCTCCCCTCCTTTAGTCGGGACCTGGTCCCCTCTCCCCGCCCCCCCCCCCCGTCGGAACGAAATTCTGCGTGATTCTTTGGTTGCATACGCATTTGACTGGCAGAATATAGAAGTCCGAATATATAGATTGGATATAGAGAATCTAAATATCTCAAAATTAATATATTGATTGCATTTGTCTACGGATCTTTATAGATTCTTCCGATCTGCCACGCAACCAAGAGTCCAAGAAAGATAAATGAAATTGAAAGATCAGGTCGGGGATTTTGGACCGCGCGATTAAAAAATCTCATGAGATTTCGAATCATTTCTTTCTCTTTGGCTATTTGGATAATTATTCGGCGGAATATGAAAATCCGAGATAGAATATTTAAATCTTTCAGAATCAATAGATCAATCGTTTTCTTGAGATCTTCAATCTAAGTCTCAGATTTTTAAGGAATTTTTAAATTTCTCAGAAAAAATCAAAGGATTTGGCAAATTTGGGGATTTCGACCAATTTGATGCCGTAGAAGGTACCGTATCGCTATTTGCATATTTAGTAGCAAGAAACCCTCTAGTGGACGCTTGCCAAGAGGGCATTCGGATAGGGAGAAGAGGGAAAGTCGGCTTGGATCAGAGGAATTTCTCCAAAAAAAATCATTAGGATTAGTGACGTCGTGACGTCTCTTGGGCAATCCCCTTCAGATTTATAAGAATCTGAAGAGCTTCTTAGAGAATATCCTGATGATATTCTCTTATAAGATAAGCAGCTACTATGGGGCATTTCATGAAATATCAAAAGAATAGAGTCCCC